TACAGTGTCGCAGTAGCCTCCTAATAAGACACCTCCAGGTTAATCTGTCGTTCCTGGGCGGCACTGTTGCTCCTACAGCTACACAAACCCTCGCAGAGCCCCACACCAGGCTAAGGCTCCAGCGTGCTCGTGGGGGGACATGCACAGTGGTGCTCCCCTGCCAGCTGCCAACAGCCCCCTTTCTCCCAGCCCCAGAGGACTGGTGGGGTTTTGGGGTTGTTTTACACTCTCTGTTCAGGAGCTTTAGCCTTATCAAAAGATCTGGCATGAAAATTGAGTAGCAGGTCACATGTAATAGCAACATACACAAAGGCAATGATTCTTCTATTTACAGTCAATCATATGCAACGTCTCACACCAAAACACAGAAAGAAGTGTCAAGAAGGTGGAGGTGGGTCTCGCAGTGAATGAGAGAGGAGCAGATGGAGCTGCAATGGCTTACAAGGAAATCAGGATCACTAAATCGCACAAGACTAAGGTTGGCGATGTCATTATAAATCCAAAAATAAGCACCATGTGCCCCACTGCAGTACCTTTCCCTGTTTTATGAACTGGACTGAAAACTGTTTCCACGTCAAAACATTCACACAAGTGAAACATTTATTAGTGCAACTGCCACATTAGGAGGAACTGACACTACTACCTATAGCAGCAATAAACTAAAGAAAACAGAGCCTGACATTTACCAGGAGACTACTAAAGACATTTCCAGGGGTCTTTAGTATAGCTGAGACTGTGAGCGTTAATTTCCATAATGCTGTGTTGTTGTCATTAATGAATGTGCTAATGATCTCTTAATTCTTCATTTAGACTGATAATTGCTGATTAGTACATTTGGGAATGGAGATCAACTGATACATACCATCTTCCAGTCTGGCCTGGGGTTCTGAAGGTTGCACCTGGGATGAACGTTCCTGTTCCAGACAGATGCATAAACCCAAAAACAATTGTTCTGAGATTCCCTCTTCCTATAGATTACAAATTAAGCTGTGAGGCAGGGATAAGAGAAGGCATAGAAGGCAGTGGGTATGGCAGATTTCCTCTTATAAAATCTGGTACACGTTTTCCACTGTTCACTTAAAACAGCAGAAGGCAGAACAGCCCTTTCCAGGACAGAAACAGGAGTATCACAAAAGCATAAATGAATATATAGAGCTGCTGCATCCATCATACAGCAGCAAAAGGTGTATATACATATATATGTACACACACATATATATACATACACATATTTTTGTGTGTGTATATATGAAATTCCTTTATAAAACAAATTCTTTAGGACAACAGTTTTCAATCAGTGGTCCCTAATTCCTAAAGGTGAAATTGGATTACTTCTAAAGGGTCCATAAACGTATTAAAGCAAAACGTGCTTCCTGCCAGTAGGCTTAAATCAGATTCATGTCTCTCAAAAAATTATTCTAGACCTAAAAGGAAAATGGCTGAAAACCCACTGTTTTAAGAAATTCCAGCTATGACAAGCTCTAATCTTCGCTTAATTCCAAAGGACTCTCTATTACACCAGACTGTCTGGCAAATGGCATTTATTTCTGTTTCCTTTTAACCAGGGCTGTGTGCATTAATATAGACTTATTAATACTATGACCTCTAGGTGTTATCTTAAATAAGAACATGAAAAGTTGTTCTTTTGGTTGGCTGGCTGCTTTTGCTGTTGCATTTTAATATGGTTTCTTGTGTTTTGCTTGAAATGGAATTTGGAGGGTATATTGCTAGTCGCGGCTGCACAAACAGCACTGAGGCCAAATACGATATGCTCTAGCTAAACATAAATCACTTCAGTATATCTTTTAGCTGTAATCTAAATTAATTATTTGAAAATCAATTTATGGCTGTTTTATTGTACTTTTATGTAAACAAATACCCACGAGCTACAAATATGCATCCTGCTAGCTGTAGAAAGTGCATACTTCTTGGAAGTAACATTGCTATTCCTTCCCTTCCTGGCACAGGTAGAAATGGATTTGAAAAAACATCTTTTAATAAGTAATTACTTTTTTCCCCTTCTCAGTAAGAATTTGGCTACACAAACCTGTGCATGGGCAAAAAATCTCCACCTGGGCAGCATGGAAAGAGTACAGGAGAGAAGAGTTGTGAGTGTAAAGAGGAAAGAATCACCCAGAGCAATTTCTACTTTACTTCTATCCCACCCACGGCTGACCTGCCTTAGAGGAAGTCTCCTGGCCGGCTGCTCATTCCTCCTTTCCCTCTCAGCTGCCCATGCCTGAGGGGCAAAGGGGTGAGAACAAGTAGCTGCAGGTAGGCAGGAACATCTGCAGTAACAACATACACTGCTTATTGTTTGCTGTGCTGTAATTTTTCATCTGGACTTTGAGAAGAAGGCACTGTTCTGCTCTGTTGAAAAATATTAGTTAAAATCAGCGTTTAAAAATGGTATCGAGGCTTTTGTTCAAAGTTCTAGAGATGCTTTCTGGTAACGTGAACAAACTGTGCTGAAAAGGGACTCCCCCAGGCCACGGCACTGCTATCAGCTGAATGCACGCGCATAGGTCTGCACCACTCCCCTGCCACCAGCCCGTCGGTGGCGAGGCACAAACCCCTGCAGTGACAAGCTTCCCAAGCTGGCACCCAGCTGCGGGAGCTGCCGCGGGTGTGCCAGCTCTCTCTTGACACCAACACAAGGGCTCTGAATGGGAACTCAACGCAACGTATGGTGAGGAATTAAAACATAATTTCCATCCTGCACTCGCTCCCTACATAGGCGTTAACCCCACTCACTGCTTTTATACGGCTTAGGCTAATCCACTCTGGTAATACCAATTCAGTAATTATAATTATCTAAACTGCATAAGGGATTCTTAGCCCAGAATAAAAAAGTTCATGCAGGAGGTTAGTGCAGAAAAGAAAAAATTCAGCAGTACCTATTTGGGATTCATCTCCTTGTATGCCTTAAGGCTGAGAAAGAACAATATTTGTCTTTTTTGAATACTGCAGAAGCTTTAGCATTTTCTCTCTGATACTTGGAGACTTGTTTCCTTAACAATGCCAGTTCTAGAACACATAATGCACGGATCTCAGTTATGTGCTCCTTTTCAATATATGCTACAGCCACCCCCCACCTCCCCCAGTATTTCTATATGCTGCTATGATGTCCTAAAAACTGTATTAAGTTCAGTTAACATATAAAGGTTGTCAGGCCCTGGGACTTATCTTTCTGCTATCCAGTCCTTCTCTTGAGGTCCCAGCTCCTAGAGTGAAGTGATACATGACATTTCAGCTTTCATAGAAAGAAGGGAATAGTTAATGGTCCTAGCTCAGAAGAAAAAGAAAACAATCCTAAACTCAAAATATACTTCTTTTTAGAAAAGTTTCACGATTCATACTGCATTTTATTCCTTTTTGACTCCTAACTCATTATTTTTGAACGATTAAGGATGAGAACATTGTCTGTATACAACACCTTTTCCTGTATACAACACCTTAAAGACTTCAGTGCTGATGATCAAAACTCAGAAGGGAACTGAGACATGGAAAGTTCAAGAGATGAGAAATAAGATGAAAAACCATATGAAAACTCTTAAATTCACAGATTGGCCATAACCAAGTTAAGAATTGCCTTCATTCAGTACCACCTATTGAATCACTATACCCAGCAGGGAAATTTAAAGCATCAAAACAGACTGCATAGTAACCACTGTGTTAAAAACAACCCTGCCTCTTTTTATCTGAGTGCATATATATTGCATGACATACAGACCCACAGCCATTTTTTTCCCAGGCTTTGTTCCAGCTTGCTCCCTTTCCACAACTAGTTCTTAGAAGCACTGGTCCCACTGTGCCCCTGTGCACCCAACGCGAAGTCCACAGCCTGGTGCACGCTGTGGAAGAGAAGGTGGTCCTCCCCCTCTTTAAAGAATTCTCCTCGGATCAGGGAACTCCTCACTGAAGGATTGCATTGGGCCAGTAGCACCTGGACATCTATCTCCCTATAGTCCTTGCAGACTTCTTTGAGCGTGCGTATTCCTGCCGTGTCCAGAAACTGTACTGCACAACAATCAATCACTATTGTGTGAAACCCCAGAGGTTCAGAGACAAAATCCATGGAGATGCTGGTCTGGTTGCCACCAGAATCCACCTCCTTCTCTCTAAGCATTCTTTTTGCTGCCTTTTTCTTTGCTGCCTTCACCCAGACTGGGTTGACCCCAGTTTGCTTGTACAGGGTGGATTTAAAGCACTCTTTGTTGATGTAGTAGAGGGGTGCTTCAAAACGGAACACCACGATTCCTGGCTTGGTTTGCAAGTTCTTGTAAGCAGACAGGGATTCATACGTTTCAGACTCTGCCACCCAGCCAAGCAGCGGTGCCTCTGGTCTCTGAGTTCGGAAAATGACGCAGAGCATAGAGAAGCAAACACCAACCAAAAGACCAATCTCAGTACTGATGAATGCTGAGGCTGCCATAGTAACTAGCCAGATCACTGTGTCCACTCTGCTCAAATGCCACATTTTTGGCAGGTCCTTGAACTTCCGCAGGGCTCCTCTGAGGTTTACAATAGTTATGACAGCAAGGACACATTTCTGAAGGGAATAAAATAAAGGTGCAATCACAAGGAGGACTAATAGGATTACCAAACTAGTCACCATGCCAGACATTTGTGTCCTACAGCCTGTGGACTCTTTGACAAGAGTCTTGGCAAGAGCTGCGCTTGTTATGAAGCAATGGAAGAAAGAGGGAATGATGTTGCAGAAGCCAATGGCATACATCTCCTGGTTGGCCTTCACAGAGTAACCATGCTTCTTGGCAAACATTTCTGAGAGGGAGACAGTGATGGCAAAGCCAATAATAGCTATGGGGATAGCATCCAAAGCCACATTAGGAATCAGGTTCCAGTCTGGAGGGCGGGGTGGCAGAAATCCAGTTGGGATGTGTCCAGCAACACTCGAGCCGTAAGTCTCTCTCAGCTTCCCAAAGTGAGATGCCAGAGTAGCTGCCACAATCACGACTAGTTCAACTGGTATTGGAGCCTTGAGCCTGGATTTAAAATGTTCATTAAGCTCTTTGGTTGGGATAAGTACAAGAAAGCACAAGAAGCTAGTGATGAGATCACAGATGTTGGTCTTGTGTATGTTTCTGAAGATGTTTATCCATGTGGCTATGAGGGAGCCGATGCCACTGCTCCGTGGAATGTCTAGGCCCAGGAGATACTTGGCTTGTGAGGTTACGATGGTAAAGGAAGCACCCGTGACAAATCCACTCAGCAACGAATCGGACAGGTACACTGAGACAAAGCCCACTTGAAAGAAACCCATGGCCACCTGGAAGGAATCAACCACACACAACAGATTAGGACGCAAATCTTACAGATGTCATCACTGTGGGACTCTGGAGGGAGGTGAGATAAAAAAAAACACTGCATGGCCCTGGAGGACAAGGCATGGTCTGAGCATGGAGAAAACAGTCTCCAGCATTCAGCTGCTCCTGGTACACCGCACTTAGACGAAATGCATTTCTAAGACAGAGCAGGCTTTTTGGGGGGTCTTCATACTCTGAACCTGTGTTTTATGTTTGCTCATTGGTTCAGTTGTAACTCCTAGTTGCCCTAGCGGGCAAAGAAACCTAGGGAAACAAGCATTTGAAATACTGGCTACTTCTGCCATTTCTCTCTCAATAATGAGAAATAATCTTTGTGAACTTTGCAGCGATCCAAAACCTTTTTGGTTGTCTTTGCCTTACACTTGAGCTCACAACCTGCAATAAAAATATAGTTTATGGCATAACAGCTGTCCTTTGAACCGCATAAAGTTTGGTGCATGTGATTCAGAAAGTATATGAGCTGCAAACTCTTGTGATGCAGATTATATAGAGATAATTTTTTAGTGTCTTGTCATTCATTTTTATTAATGCTAGTTGAATGGACAAATCCTTGGTGCTCTCTTATGGGAATAACTGGTTTTATGGATACCTACCCTACACACGCATCTTCGCACCTGGTAAATGCCCCTTTCTCCCCATCAACCTTCATGCCAAATGGAGCATGGACCTTCTCACAGCATTTGCTAGAAACCTTTTAATTCCCTGAGCTAGACAACAGGGCTGTCTACAGTTATCTGAAGACTGCAGGCCTGAACTTACAGGTATTAAACTTTAAGTAGCGTCAATTCGATATATCCTGCTAGGTAGTTAAGGCAAAATAAAGAAGGCTAGGATCATGGCTGGAAACTTCAGAAGAACCACAAAGCATTACTGAAGAGAAGGCAGGCTTGGGACCTGGACTTGACTGGACATGGGCTCAGACCCAAGCTCTAAAAAAGGCTCCCTCGCAACCTTGGTAATTAAGTTAATTCAAGGTTTTTCTAGATGTAAAACATTAGCAATAATTGCCTTACCTAGTTATGCGGTAGGCAACTGGTGTGAGCAGGCTTGCTTTTTGTGATTTGATTGTAAAGTTTTTGATACAAGGAGTATGTGATTTTGGTTGGAGCGTCCAACAAAAAATATATTTGAGGGTGTGAAGACCTATTGGTTAGCAGGCAGAGGGACAGCAAGTAGAATATGCCTAACATTCAGAGGGACTTAAGATAAAGTAATCTGACTTCCTCATATAAAGAAACTTAGTTGTACTTGTACTTGCAAAGAACATTAAGCGCAATTCACAACTCCAAAACTGCATCCATCCTACAGTGATGAAACACAAAATCCAGTGTACCTCAGTGTCCTGGTTTCGGCAGGGATAGAGTTAATTTCCTTCCTAGTAGCTGGTACAGTGCTGTGTTTTGGATTTAGGGTGAGAACAATGTTGATAACACACGGATGTTTTAGTTGTTGCTAGGTAATGCTTACACTAGCCAAGGACTTTCTAGTTTTCCATGCTCTACCGACTGAGAAGGCTGCAGGTGCACAAGAAGCTGGGAGGGGGCACAGCCAAACTGGCCACAGAAACATTCCATACCATGTGACGTCATGCTCAGTACATAAACTGGGGGAAGCTGGCCGGGGGGGCCGCTGCTCAGGGACTGGCTGGGCATCGGTCGGCGGGTGGTGAGCAATTGTACTGTGCATCACTTGCTTTGTGTATTATTATTATTATCTTATTATTATTATCATTTTATTTCAATTATTAAACTGTTTTTATCTCAACCCACGAGTTTTTCCTCACTTGTGCTTTTCCAATTCTCCCCCCCATCCCACTGGGTGGGGGGAGTGAGCGAGCGGCTGCGTGGTGCTTAGTTGCCAACTGAGGTTAAACCACGACACTCAGGAGGCCCAGAATATTTCTGAAATTACTCAACACTAACTTGCAGTACAAGAAAAAGTCCCAGGTGTTTTAGAGTATCACAGGTATGTTTTCTTTTCCTCTTCTCTACAGTTTGATTAGCTATCACCCTGGAGGTCACTGTAGAAACAAATGAATGTGAACTCACAAACTGAAATACCACAGCTCTGCATTACCGTTAAAACTAAATCCATTCTGGTTAATGCATGACATTCTAAAAACAAAGATATCTGCTTTAATTTCAGCAAGCAGTGAATTCTAGGAAGTAGAGACGGAGTGGTAAAATATTGTTGAGTAATACATTTTAATATGGTAATAATTAAGAAGTTTTATTTCAAGTATATTTTATCATCTCAGTAGTGTCCTTTTCATACAAGGGCATTGTTTTGGCTTTGAATGGGCAAACAGCAAAGTTTTACAAGCACAGTGACAAATAAAAAGAAACTGGAGATACTTTTACCATCCAGATTATTTTTTGATAAAAGAAAAGGCAAATGACTGAAGTCTGGAATTAAAAGCTGCCACACCACATTTTGGCCCAATGAAGGCCTAAGCTATAAGCCAGCAAAAAACAAAAAAACCCAAGAACAACAACAACAAAAAAGCTTCAGGCCACAGTGAGGAAGGTGGTGAGCAGATTGTGTGAGAGCAGCAGGTGGTTACGTGCATGTCCTTACAGTCCCCCAACAAAGTAGCAATGCAAGCACAAAATGCTGTTAAAAATAAGGAGAGGACACAGAGCCGTTTCTTGCACAACAGTAACTGGAGATCTCCAGGCCTCCCTGCATCCACTTCCCTGGGACGCAGATTGAGGACACGTGCAAGCCGAGCAGGCTGTTCACATGGACAATCACCTAAAGAAGAATTATAACTATTTCTACAGAATACCTGTTTGTCCACCTCCTCTTACCTGATAAACTCCAGCTATGAAGGTCATGGTAGCTCCCACTGTAATTGCATAGCAGCTTTTATCACAGAGCAGCTTCTGCGATGTCTGATTCACAGGCGAAATGGTGGTGTTTACATACGCTGCTGTATCTGTGAGGACACTGAGCGCAGCTGGCCCTAAGTCATAGCCAGCTCTCTGTATTTCACGATCCACCACTTGTCCCACCATCAGGCAAATCACACCGAAGATGCCAACTGAGATGTGTCGGGAGGTTCCAAATATGAAATAAATAATGCTAGCAAAAAAGGATGTATAAAGGCCATAAATAGGCTCCTGCCCAGCCAAGAGAGAATAGGCAATTGACTGTGGGACTAGTAAGACACCCACAATCACACCAGACATTACGTCTCCCAGTAGGTACTCTCTTAGCTTGTATTTAGGAAGCCACTGCAAGACAGGAAAGAAACTGAAAACATAGTTTTTAACTTTGGCTGGAGTGCAGCTGCAAGTTTTCTTTGCTTGCTTAACCACCACAGCCTTCATGCTCCTCTTCTTCTCTTGGGGTTCCAAGAACATTCTGTGATGGAAACTGCGTTTAGCATCGTCTCCTTCTGGCATTTCAGCCACTGAATGGACATTGTTGAATTCTGCCATTCCTGCCATCTCAAGGGCTCCCTAAAAACACAAAGAAGGACCATTTCCATTAAAACATAACTGAATGCGCTACATGAGACTTTTTAATGGAGTGAATACAGTATTTATGAAAAGGAAGGGGTAAAAGACTTAATTAAGCACAGAGAAAGCAATTTCCAAGCAAACTTGGAAAAATCCTCCCCATTTTATGCCTGTTAAGCAAGGAATCACCTTCCCTAGCAGACTGATATCCCGTAGAATAAACCCGCTGCTGGCAATGTTGTGAAATGGAAAAGAATGCAGCAGCACTGTCTCTCTGGGAGGCTTCCTTGATAAAATCACTATCTGCAGCCTGTTCCACCATGCGAAGATAGACACAGGGTTTATTGTAGTCCAACAGTCACTTCAATTCAGTTGCTGAAAATTAACTACAATTAGTAGATCTCTAACATTGCACAGCTTGGCCTAAATCTCATTTATGTTTTTGTTTTTTTTTTTTAATGCAGTGATTACACCTGCCAAATATTGTAAAGATTTTTTACCTAAGGAGGTGCAATCTTTACCCAGTGGCTTTATTTCAGCCAATGAGACATTGCAAGGAATGTTCTTCACACTTTATAAAAGCTGGTTTTCAAGTAAATTACATCTGACCAAAACAATACACACAAGTGGAAAACATATTAATGGGCACAACATAATGTAGGTGGAACACTTCTGTCAGAACACTTGCTCTAGTACAGGCTGCCTACAAACAGTAAAACAAGGTGATTATATCAAAGCACATTTAATACTGGAAACATGTTGCCTGAATGTGAAAGAGCACAGTCTTGACGAGACAAGCCCTAATGAAACTTGATGATACCAACAGTGATTACCAGCATTCATACAGCACTCCTGGTTTCCAGACAACATCCAGCATCCTCCAGAAAACTCTCTTTTAGCCACAATAACTGCTACTACTACTACTACATTGAAGTTAAATTTCAGTCGGAAACCCATTTGACTGGTGCTACAGTGGTTTCAAGGCCAGAGACAGCAGCAGAACCCTGAAAAATCTCTCAGGCTTCCCTTTCAAACACTGCCTTGAAGTCCTAGTGTGCTAATAACACCACCTCCCTTATGTGCTAATTACACCTTCTCTGTGCAATGCAAACATCAACCAAACTAATGTTCTATGCACTGTTTACGACTGAATTAATTACCAGATCGGTATTGGAGCTGGCCATGCTGAGGATGCCACTGAAGAGTCCATCTCAAAATTTTTTCACTTAGTCAACATTTCACAAGTAGCTATAAAACATTTACTGCTACTATCACTTCAGTGTAAGTCTCTCAAAAACATACAAGGGGAGAAGTGACAGAAGTGAGTTTAAGTGTGGTGCTTAAACTACCCGTTTCCCCTGCAGTCAGCCCATTACAAGGCACTGATCCTAGAGCTATGCAGAGAGGAAATGTCTTCTTTTAGACCTCGGTCTAGCTGGCTGGAGCGTACGATTTCCATGCTTCCATCCCAGGTTTGACGCTGTCATACAGAGGTATCCAAAGTGCCGTGCATCAGCCCTATATAATGGTTTACACACAGCCATGCCTCCAGCAGTCTGCTAGCTCAGACAGAGATGAACTGCCTTCAGTTCTTCTAACTAGAAAGACATTATCAACCCAAGTACCTACTGTCTTAAAACAGCCTAAGCAAATGATCCTAACCACATCAAAGGAACCCACGTGAGAGTAGAGGCAGCTACAATACTTAATGTTTAGACTGGCTTCTCTTTCCAGATAAAAATATTCAGAGATTTCCAGAACAGCCTTCCAATTAGAAAGCAATTCAACCTGAGTAATCCAACTCTTCCACCTTACACTGTAGCACACTTCTCCCTAGAGCTACCAGGCTAGAGCGTGCAGAGGGCTATCTAAAGTCAACACACGGGACAGATGCTGATAGATAACCAACAAAAAATACCAGAGGCAGGGGTTCGCATTTTATCTTCTGCTCCATGCCGGGACTTCCAAAAGGTGTTTTCATTCACTACAAACCCATAAACAGTGAGTGCCTCTCCGGTGGGTAAGCTCCTGCATCCTTTCAAATAACTTTGCCAGCCTGCCACTGGACTGCTACTGAAAGGGAGCTGTGTTTTGATCAGAGAACTCCCTGGCTCCAAAACTGTGAATAGCACAACGGCATCAGCAGGGATAGATTTTCTGCATAAGGTGGGGGATGTATGCCTTCCTGTTACCATCACCCGTACAACTCATGCTCTGTTATATGCTGGGGCAGACTAAACAGCATTGCCAGGTCTCATGCTCTGTGTGAGATACTTTATGAATACCTACCTCTCATCCTCCACATCTACCAGGTATTTCTAGCAAGGCATCAATGCTTTTCTCCAGCTCCTGCCCTGTTCCAAACTCCCATACCTCCAACTCTATGCCTAATTCATCTGAACCATGCATGGGGTCTGCAGGGTGGTCGGGAAACCAGAAAGATAAAAATAGCTCTAAGCACAACTAGGGAGAACATGCCTCTTTGTGGCTGCTGTTCTGCACACAGACAGAGGAGCAGCTTAGGGAAAGTCACAATTCAAAAAAAAAAAGGAAAAAATGAACACTGCTGGGTTAGGTGAGACCTAAGTGGAAAATTCCATAGTTTGAAATCAAGTCCTATTTCTGGTGTCTATGTCCTTCTTTTGGTCCTGGTCCTTATAATCAGAGAACTCAAGAGTTCTGGATCCAAAGATTAGTCCACCCAGAACTTTAATACATACATATTTTTAGGGGTAAATTTTCAAATGTATTTATTTGTCTCCATATTTGGTCTTGTTATACAAGTCAATCCCTTAGTACACTGGAAGGAAAGACAAGAAAGCTTCAGTTTTGCCTACCTGCCTTCTTGATTATTCCAAACTTCTATCTAACAGCCTCCTGGCCATGCAGAATTACTGTATCACATACCTATGCTGTACACCTTATAATGACGAACTTCGCTTGGCTAATGACTTCCAGGTCAGTACCTTTATTGTGTTTTAGGTAACTATAAGCTCAGAAGAGCATTATGAAGAATTAGGATCTTTACAACGAGGAAACGTGCACTTCAAGAAGTGACATACTCAAGATCACATAGTGATCACGCTTGGAGGAGCACCCATCCCTATCTTCCAGATATCTATTCTCACCCACCTGTGCAGTATTGCAAAGTTCGCTCAGGGATTATTTATAGCACTTATAAAAAAGCAAATACTACACAGTGAGAATGAAGTTAACATAGCGTACAAAAGCATGTGTCCGCAGTACTCTGCATAAGTGCATTCTGTAGTTGTATTTGCTCAAGCAGTTTTATTCATTTCACAAGCAGAGTTGCAAATAAAAAAGCTTTTCACCCAAAGCTCAGCAAATCAATACTGTAAAAGCTGGGGGGAAAATTCACCCCCAGACTACTTTTTATGTGTAGCAAATTACCTGAATGAGTTTGTTTTCTGAGATTTTAGTACAGATTTTAGTGATGAAAATCCTTCTGATTACCCTCTCCCTCATCCAGGACTTGTAGACAGCTCACTCAAACCTGGGAGTTTTTCTTAATGTGCCAGCAAACTCCAACGCAAAACCCAGATAGTTCAGTTTAGTTCCGCACAGTGCTGTAAAATATCTGTGCAGTAGGTGATACCCGGGTTTTTTGGTCGTGTCTAGACAGTAGAGAAATGTTCTAAGTAAAAATCTTTTTGGCTGCTAAGCTCTGGACATATACTGGATCTTTGTGTTGACCTGCATGACAGCTTTGTCTACGTGGCTTGAAAAGGGCCTTTCATCACATAGTCACTGCCTCTCGCGATGTCAGGACACTAGGAAATGACACAATTTCCAACACCTGTTTCACCCTTTTCTGCCTCAAAGCGTTGCTCTGTATTATTTTTGTAACTGTTTAGCCCAAGCTTGCCTAGTAAAACTGGATTTTGTTTTTTTTTTTAAAAAAAAAACCCACCCTTTGGTTCAGTATGCTGAAAGACATTCTGTATATTTAACTTGGAAAGGTTAGAAAACTGTCGTTTTTGTTTTGAAAGCTCCTATTTACGTACAACTCATCTGTATGCCTCAAATTCACTTTTATCAGCTCTTTTTGGCCTGAATAAGATCTTCAGGGGGTGTCTGATTCCCACAAGGCTTTACTTAAGATACAAAGAAAAAGACTACCACACAGAACTGAGGACATTTCCAGTATCTCTCTGTTATCAAGTGACTGCCGTAAAATAAAGATATGGGAAGGTACTGCATTCTTGAGATCCGATGACTTTTACAGACTGTTGCTGGATCCCATCTGGGCCTTTCTTACTGATCCCGTAACATGGCAGAGGTGAGCTAGCATCTGTCTTTGGGGAAACACTACCTGCAGCACAGGGCCTTGCTGGCTCGGACTTCATTTTTCTGCTGCAGATCACAGTCACCTTGACAGTAAGAGAATAATGGATTGTGAAGCTCACTAACCTGCTGAAATAATGTATTACAAGTTTAAACTTAAGATGTGAGCATTTGAGAGTAGAGACAAAATCAAGAGTGCTCTTTCTATGACACTGATCTCAGTTTTCCAGATTATTTTTCTAAATTTCATGTGCATGAGTCGTCACTGTACATGATCACCACCCACCCTCACGTACCCACTTGCTGGCCATGACAAGTTGCATGCACTTAAATACTAATGCATAAACACATAATCTAAAGAGACATGAAAAATTCTTGAAGAGATGTAAAGGAAGAGCAGGGGGGATCAGAAATCCAAGTTCCACATGAACTGAACCGGAGTTGGGCTACTACCTCTGGGTCCTTGGAAAATCTCACCCTAAGAGTATAAAAGAAAAGCATATCACAACATTTTGTGATAACTAAATCTTTGTCCTTACTCTTGTTGGACAACAGTCTTTTCCAAATAATCTCTTAACTGTTGCGGAGCAACAAGGAAATTCAATATTGCCATGATAACACCGAGATAGGCACTGGAATAGCATTGTATGTACCTTGGAAGAAAATTCAGATTTTTGACAAAA